GGAGAGGAGAGGAGAGGAGAGGAGAGGAGAGGAGAGGAGAGGAGAGGAGAGGAAGTCAGGAATTGCTTTCCAAGGAGGGAAGCATAATTAGATTTAAGAACTTTTTTTTCTATTAAGAAAACAGGCCTTGCAGCCATGCAGCCAGATAATGGTCCCAGTCTTGCTGGGAGCACACTCAGCACAGCTACTATTAACGAATATTTCAGACCTTCAGAAAGTTTTATTATTAAAAAGTTTTATTATTAAAAAGTGAAAGTGTCTGTATTTAATCCCAAATTTTATACCACAGGGAATTGCTAAGGCTGCCGCACTCTCTGGATGTGAAATGCAGTAAACAGGGACTTATGTTTGGAATCTTTGAACTCTTAATACCAGTCTGCACCTACAACGACACAGGACTGGGCTCACTGTCCCTGTATAGGATATGCATTTTCCCTGACTTTCCCAAACTCCAGCCAGCCATGGGAGGCTGTTCCACTCAAACAGGGCTGTGAAGGCTGATGTTGCCTCCAGCACTTGCTGTGTTCAGTGTGGCACAGCAGGGGTTGGAGGCAGACCTTTGGATATCCAGGTTTAGCTTTTGCTTGTCACTGAGATTGCTGAAGTGGGAGATAAACCCTTCTGAAAATTGGAAGGGACTGAATTGCATCTTAGACCTTATTTAACTGTGTGTGGTAAAAAAGTGTGCATGATGAGTTTGTGCTGTGCAGACCAGACCTGAGGTAATCAGTGGAACATCTTGGAAAAGAATGAGATCAAGCCTGAGGAGCTGACAAGGAGGGGAGCTCCAGACAGAACAGACGGCAAAGAGACATCAGGCACATTCCCATGTGTGATGAGATCACATACATCACTTACATGTGCTAATGCAATTCATAGGCTGGTGACCCATAATTAGGTTTTTCCCCTTGTACTATTTCAGATTTTATGTGTGCAATATGCAGTATATTCATCCTTCTCTTTAATATTTTATCATCTTCTATCGCACCAAAATGAAGAGGGAAAATAGATGGCCATTAAATATAAATACCAGCAGCTCTTCAAAAAGTTCCCTTTCCCTTGCTTCCCTTTCTCAGCAGCAGCATGAAAGGTTGTGTAGATGCTCTAAAATTGGACTGAGTCTTTTGACATGGCATTTTCCTCCTTAGGAATTAGCAAGAGAGATGGCAGATGTGGGCCAGATATTTAATCTTTGCCGCCTGAGGTGTGTTAGTGTTTAAAAGTTATGTTGGAAATGAGAAACATCCCAATAATCAGTGAAATAAAGATTACAGAACATTACTTTTATGTGAAATTCTAAAATTATATTTATTGGCCAATTCACAGAAAGTGCTGTAGTGACCACAAAAATTACTTTGGTTTTATACATGTACGGATGTACAGAACAAATTTTTAAATAACAGACCTATTTGGAATATGAATTTAATCAGTCCTGTGGAAAACATATGGATACTAACAATTTTGAATTCATAAATGACTGTGCAAATTGACATGGCTTTTATGAAATACACCACTATACCATGGAGGAGCTTTGTACAACTTCTTTCTCTATGTAAAAAGTTAGGGTTTGTGTACTATATTGTCTGTCAAAATTTACTGTACATTTTCATTAAGAAAGGGTTGTTTTGTGTTTTTTTTTGTAAAGAGCTGATTAATATATATAAAAAATAATTTCATATTAATATTTTCATTTGCATATAGTCATTTAATTCATTGTACTGCATAAATTGTGTAGATTCATGCTTTCAGAAATGCATTTAACATCTGCAACAAGACATTTCAAGATACGGTTTATGGTCATTTCACATAAACTACAAGATATTTCATGTAAGAGCGTTTTTCCTGGGCTGAACAGTCTGTTGGTTTGAGACACATTTACGGAGTACAACCCTTGTATGTACAACCATACAGCATATGTTTATTTAATCCCTTCTCTGGTATAGTTTTCATTATCCATAGAAGTGGCCACAACTACACAGAATTTGGACAGCTAGGAAGCAATCCCAAGCTACAAAACTCATGCTGCCAACTGCAGTTACTGCTCCTTAACAAGAACTAATGCACTAACATGGAAACAATCTGGCAAATTACGAACTGTGTGGGAAAAATTGTACATTTTTGCAGGCAGATGAAATACCATTTTTACTGTCAAGAGATGATGACACATGAAATAGAATTATCCCAGGCAATTAGAGCACAGCTGTTACATTCAACATGATGAGATAATTTCTCAGCTCTTCAAAATCCTACACCCTCAGTAATATCTAACTGTTTAATAACTGTATAGTTAAATCTAACTAGAACAACCCCTTTCACCAAACTGCAGCACTATTCAGGGTGAGTATCTGATTCCTGCCGTGTTGCTCATCACAAGTCATGTTTTACAGCTCCTTGCTCAGGAATTCCTCTTCTTTTTCCTCTCCTTTGTGTTGCAACCTGACCTTACAAGACTCATTCATCTTCCCTCCTGTCCCTCAGACTTTGGGTACTCCTCATGCCATGGCTCATTTTGGGAAGGTGGGCAGAGCAGTGGCGGCAAACAGCCAATGCCAAGGAAGTAATTATTTGCTCATGTGACCTAAACCCACTCCTGGAAATTATTTTCCTACAATATGGTTTGCACAATTTACACCCACTAGGGACATAGATGTGCTGAGGGAAGCAGAGAGCTCCCTAAAGTCACCCCTGGAACCCTCAGTGTTCCTGCTCTCCCCTTTACACCAATCCTTGCAGACAGCGCAAATGAAGAAGAAATCAAATTCTATTTCCCTTGGGTTTTAAGTAAAAGTGGCTCTTCCAGCACAAGTATTCCAGTTCTGGTTTGGAGTTCAACTACAGGAAGCAGGAGCAGGTGAAGAAAACACATCAATGAAAAGACCAAAGCTGCCTTTGTACATCTTCTCTGTTTGCCTGTGTGGCTTCTGAGCCAGAAAACACAGGCTTGCTTGGGAAATGATTGAAAACATACTGCATGGTCATCATGCCAGCCAGAGACCAGAAATGGATCACAAATTTGCAATATAAGGGTCAGCATGACAGTAATCAGAAGAGCTGGCAAAATTATATTTCTTTGTAGCAGTTAGTGCCTATCTAGAAATCTTGAGCATTTGTTTTAGAAAGTAGGTGCATTCTATTGACATTTGAGGAGAAGCAGTATTATCTGTCTTAAGTGAAATTACTAGTTAATAGCTGCTGTTAAGTGTAGCAACCCTTAAAAACATGGGCCCGTGAATGACAATGTCTGTTTTCACATTAATGACAGCAACCTAATTTTTAACAAATTATACTTTGTATTACTGTTTGCTTGGCTGTAGTGTTTATTGGTTGGCTTTGTTAAATCATACCCATGTAAAAGACACTGCCAAATTCATATCATATGAGAACTTATCCATGGATTACAAAAAAGATTTTTTAAAAATCAAGTTTCAATTTAAATTTATTGTTTAAACTTTGACAACTTATGCAGTGACATCAGCAACACAGAACACCTTAACAGAGTGAACTGACAGTGACTCATTTAAGGAAATACTAGGGGATTTAGTTTGTATATTAAAGACATCTCATGAAAAGGTAAGAAACACAAAACTCAAGGAATGAATTGGGATGAGGAGGGATTCACAGATTCTCTAGTAAATTACCAAAGGCAATGAACTTGATAACTATCTAAAAATATTCAAAGGATATAAATCATGGCTATAGGAATTATTAAGAGTGGTGCAAAAGGGTCTAACTGGGACTAATGAGATAAAAATTATAAAGAGGATTATTTAAATTAATTTTCAGGAAAAGCTTTCTAATGGTGAATTCTAATAGACTCTAGAACAATCTCCCAGGGCAAGCAGTAGAAGCCCCAGGCTTAGAAACATTTAAGTAGGTTGAAGCACCCCCACCCCTAATGCTAAAAATATATATTATAGGAAAGAATTCTGCACTATTAGCATAATACTCTACTTGCACTACTTTTTCCTTTTGTCTACTAATATTTATTTCTAGGATTTGAAGTCTACTATGAACTTTGAAATACACTGATGTTGAGATGAAACAGTTCTCAGGAAGCCCACCCATAGTGTTTATTACCCTGCAAAGCAATAATCCACCTTGGTCTGTCTTCCCATCCCTGTCATGATGACCCTTTGAACAGAATTTCCTGTTAACCACAACCAAAAATTTACTCAACTGGTGGTGCAGTATTTGTAACAGAATACATACAAAACCCCCATCTCGTTTCAGATGTACCTCACACTTTTTTATCAGTTTGTGGAGAGGCCAAAAATAAATGTGCCAGTAGTTGATTCTGAGAATGGAAGCAATAACTTCAGCTCTCAGATTGGCACAGAGATGGTCATTATCCTTAAAAAGTTTTCTATTATGTATATTTTCAAAAATCAGGATTCCTAACTGTGTGGCCATTTAGGAGATTGTATCACCACAAATAGTTTACTTGGGGGCCTTTTCAGTATGGAATATAGTCTGTCTGTCTCCAGCTCCTCATCAACCCATAGAGTATGTTTGTTGTAGAAAATCTCTAAAACTAATCAACAACTCTCTGTGGGCAAAAGTTCAATTTCTTACCTCAAATTAAACTGTGTGGTAAACTGTACCCTCAGACTCAAGTCACAGCAGACAGAATGTTTGTCCCAAGCCCCCTGGGCTGGCCTTGGCTCTAAATTTTTCTGTTTAATGCACACACAGTGTAGCAACACCTCTCATGGCCCTGCTCCTTTCCCAGCTCTGCTGGAGGTGCTGTAACTGGAACTCAAGAAGGCAACTTTAGCATCAGCCAGGCTAAAAACCTGCAAGTTCTCCTTCATCATCACAGCCACCACCTCCCCTTGGGCACCATTCTGTGATTTTCTTGTACACACATGTATATATATGCAACACACGTGTGTGTGTATCGCATCTATGTCTGGTCTTCTCGGAACCCTTCGACATCTGACATTCATTCTCTTTCTTGTTCATTGTGACAGTGTCAGTTCTGGCATGGAAACAGAAATTTTTTCCATTTTCTTACTATTTGACACTCAAGCTTTTATGTCTCTTTCTTTTCTACGAGATCAAATTTCAACTTTTTTCACATAACTGTAAACTCTTTCTGTTATTCATGCAATATTCTCTTCTACTTTCCTGTTCACTCTTCCTTAAATAATAATTTGATTTTCTAGTGGAACTGACTGTAGTTGATTCATTCCACATTCTGAAGAGCACTCCCAATTAAAACAACTGTCCACCTTCTCCTCCACCATACATTAAGCAGTTTGTAGACAAGGATTTATTGCCAATTTCAGTGCTGGTTTGAAATGTCATTGTAGTCACAGACTTGGTCAGGGTTGTCTGATCAAGTCTTTTGTACCTGTTTATATATTTAGGTTAGGCAGGAGTAGAAAAAAAAGACACTGTAATTTTAATAACTTTTTGCTTTTCCCCCCCTTAGTATATCCTGAAACCTTCAGCCAAAAATAGTTTTATGGGTTAGTACATGAAAGGACACCTGGAAAGAACTTTATACCCAGGTGGGAAGTTAAATGCCTCTGAAAACCCGAAACTGTATCCAGATTTATACAAAAGAAATAGGGTTGCAGAAAAGCATTTTACTCCCATGAAATTTTCTGGGTTTCTGAAGTACAAGGATGGAATACCATTGTAAAATCTTTGTTCCCTATTTGGAAGCTTCTTCTCTTTGCATTTGGCAAGCTTTGTGCACTTTTCCCAGGGAAAGCTGAATGATTTTATTGTACAATGTACTTAACTGGGAAAAAAACTGCTTTTTTGTTCTCAGCACAGATATAAATAGTGACAGTACATGGGCATAGAGCTTCAACAGCTGATAAATGCACAATTTCCCCATGAGCTAGTACTGAAAATAAGAATGAAGGCTTTTCCTGAACTCTGTTTCACAAATTTGCAGTGCTTCATGCTGCTGAGTGTGTTTCTTTAGAGGCAGTAACTAATAAAGCACCAGCCCAGAGCTCTCCACTGTATCCATTGTGTCTTTCCCTCTGCATGTGTTTGGAGTGCTCCATCATGGAGGGCTGGTAGCAGAGCTGCAGGAGAATTATTGAATTATGGTTCACCACCAGGCTCTTTAACAGGACTATTCCAAAGGATTCTAGCAGCACTGTTCCTGTTGCCAGCAGAGACATGGAAACCATAACGAGCAAAGAGCTGGCGATACCTACTCCAAAGGCAGCAAAATGCCTCTAGGGAAAAAGAGTACCTGCTCTGGTGCCTGCCTTTTCATCACCAGGAATGAAGTTATGAACATACAGAACTTCCTGGGTTCATTTTATTCGGCAAAGTTTCAGTAATGAGGGCTACAGTTGTTTATTACTTTAAAACTCCTATCTTAGACAGAGGCTTATGAAATTAAAGCCCTTGCTCCCCTTTTGTTTTTGCACTGTTCAAGTACTGTGTATTTTTAATTTGTGACCATGTCTTTTTCAGAGAAAACCAAAATCAGAAAGAACATACCAGGCTTGAACCTTGCTAATCCTACAAAGGTGATGAATTATAATTACTTTATGAGAGATCACTGGAGCAATTTTCCCAATATATTTAGCAGAAATATTTCTTGAGACTGGGTGTGTTAAAAAGTATGATTTTTGCTCTGCAGTAGCTTTAGTGGTTATCTCTATTCTTTGTATCTTTATTCTCCATGCTAACAAAAATGAAGTTGGATTCCAGGAGAGTCTAGCAATCAGAAGTCTGATCACTGGATACACAATCTAAGACATGCAGCTTTAGGGAAACTGATCCATTTCAGTTTACATAACATCTCACATATTGCTTGTTATGCCTTTCTTTATTAAAATATATATATATATATATATATATATATTTGACCCAAATGTACAAATATTGTACAGGACCACAGATTCATGGTGCTGTAGAAAATATTACAAAGTGTAATGATTTGGTGCATGAGTGTGTGGGTTTCTCTGGAAGCACCAAAATCTTGGAGGAATGGGCTGGCTACTGTTCCTATGGCAGTTTGCAGTGGCACTGGAATGCTGTGAGCTGGACAGGCTCTGGGGGCAGGGAGGCTGTGCAGGAACAAGGCCTGGCAGCTTCCTCTGCTGTGCTGAGAGGGAGAACCTAGTGCCAATGGTGATACTGGCTGGAGCATGAGAGAGATTATACAACACTGGATTATGTACAACCAACAAAAATTAATTTAGTAACTTAGAAGGTGGTTTGATTTCTTTGGCAATCTTTTTGATATTTATGTTTTGTCATTTAGGGTTTTTTCTCCTGTCTCCTTAGATTTACTCACTTGGTGTAGAACTACTTTAAGCAGTTGCTTAAAGGAAGAAATCAGTTCTCAAGGCAGACCCTGATAAAACCTGATATACCCTCTGAGACTGGGGATATCCTAGTTTTGAGGTATTTATTCTGGTCAGCATGTGTGAATTAAGGGAATGGGAAGCCCCTTAGAGGAGATGTATTCAGTTTTGTTTCCTCTCTCTCTCTCAGTATCCATATGCTTTTGCAAATATCCTTAGTTTTGGTGCTATAATTTCTACTCCAGTGTACCAGGTGCAGCTCCATCCCACCAGACCTTTACCTGCTGTCACCCCAGTAAAGTCTTTCCAGGTGCTGTTCTGTGGAGATGGAGAGCTGTGGGTACTGGCACCAAAACTTTGAGAAGAGGCAGTGTTGGGTCCCAGTGCACTAGGACCCCTACGAGGGAGAAAAGTAAAGCTGCCTCTGAGGTTAAAGCTGGGGAAAGGGACAGTTGAGACACAAGTTATTTATTATTTATATTTTATCAAAGCTCAAAAGGCTTTTCCCCAGTGCAGTAAGGGCTGCTACTGCATTACCCTCTGCCCATCCTTCGCCTGGGGCTACTGATTTCCCATGGCATTATTTTGAATTATTTTGAATTCTTAGTTTAGGGTCAAGCAGGGACAGCTCCTGCAATTGAGACATTAGATTTCAACCACAGCAGGAACTTCAGAACTCTCTCATCCTTTCTGAGCCTTACTTTGTTCCAAAATGGAGTAAGGATGGTGCTCAGCAAGCTCAGCACCACTATATGCCAGAAAGAAAAATAAACTGCTCCCTCCCATTAGCCTCTGGTGAGGTAAAAAGCAGTCCCACCACCACTGCAAAGTATTACCTGTTGGAATGAAAAAATAGCAAGAGTTTATTTTAATTAGTATTAAAGATGTCACAAACCTTACATCTATTTCTAGATGTGTAAGCCAATGCGGTAAATATTGATATTAATCTAAACTGTGCATTTTAAAGTTTACTTGCAAAGATAAAATACCTGTGGAAGGGGTAGAAATGAGAGAGAAATGGAAGCTATTAATCAACAATAGCCACTAAGGCAGTTATATTAATTCAGATAACATCTTCAATTTGCATTTTTAGGTTTTACAGCTTTTCCCAGCCTTAGATTAGAACTCCAGAAATTTAAGGGATCATTGATGTGATGTCATTTTAGACATCTGTTGTCACCTCTGAATTCCTGGTGCCATGGATTGTGGGTACCTCTTCAGAACTGCTTTCTTTGGATAGACTTGTTTATTGCTAGTATAAAAAAGCCACCTCACCACAAGACAGATCCTGAGGGGCTGCAATGAGCACTTGGAAGAGAACAGAGCTGGGGAAAGGTTGGAGCACCAGGCTGATGAGAAACAGCTGAAGGAGCTGGTGGGACTCAGCCTGCAGAAAAGGAGGCTCAGGAGGGGCCTTTTTACTCTCTCAAACTCCCTGAGACGAGTCTGCAGCCAGGTGGAGCTGGTTTTTCCTCTCAAGTAACAAGTGATAGGACAAGGGCAAACAAGCTCGTAGTGTGCTGGGGAGGTTTAGACTGAATATTGGGGAAAAAATTCCTCATTGAAAGGATAGTCAGGTATTGGACAAGGCTGTCCAGGGCAGTGCACAGTCGCCATCCCTGGGCGAATTCCAAGACATGTGAATGGGGGACCTGAGGACATGTTAGCAGTGGGCTTGGCAGTGCTCAATGACCTTAGAGGTCTTTTCCAACTGAATGGTTTTACAGTTCTAAATGGTTTTTTCAGGGGGAAAAGGAGAGAATTTTGGCTTTTGATTAGGGGCAAAAGAACCCCACGTGGGTGTCTTTATGTACATATGTGTGTATATGTTCTCGTTGGTTTTTAAACAAGTAGGTTATTGTCCTAGGTGACATTATGGTGCTTCTATCTCCAATCGTGTGTTCTGTTTATGTTTGATGTTATGTTCTGTGCCTTCAGGACATAATATATTTTTGGAGGGGATGCAATTTTGTTAGAGTTGTTTTAGAAAAATTGATATTTCTTTGATTTTCTAGTAGTAGTTTTGCTCAGGAAACCACTGCTCTCAGTGGTATACAAATATTCTAGGGCCCATTTTGTGAAGAAGTACCTCATTCTCACTGCCATTCTGTGAAAAGGATGTTTCTGTTTATTTGAATGAAAAATGCTGCATAATGTGCTCCAGTGTGTAATCTAAAATAAGTACAATGATGCATTTAGTTTGCTGAATATCTTACTGCAAACCAAGTTTTAGTGATAACACACATGCCTGTATGACTTTGCTTAGGTTTAAAAATGTAGATTTATTTACAGTAGAGAAAATACTTTGTTTCCTTTTTGTGTAATGTACGAGTACAAACTGAAAAGATGTGCTTCCAGTAGCAAAAAGTTTACATGGGGAAACACACTGATGAATTCACAAACATATAAAATAATTAAAGGCTGTCAATAAGGTTGTAAATTGCTGTTTTCAAGTTGCCCTAATATTTGCTATGATAACAGCAACAACAACAATAATAATAACAATAATCAGGAATAACAAAAACTTTAAAATAATTTAAGTCCAGTTTTAAATCTGAAATTGACTTTTAAATATCTACATTTAATTTTGAAATGTTTTCTGAGCAGAAAGATTTGCTGATACATGCTGATAACAGGCATCATGAAGAGCCTCCTTCATGTCACTAAAAATTAAAACTGAGAAATTATCTAGGACACTAGGATGGTAGGAACTGATCTAACATAACATTTTGTTCAAGAAAATCAGAAATATTAATATTAATTTTTTATTAGACAGAAATTGTGGACATACTTACAGTTGTTATTCCAGCAGATAAAATGTACTTATATGGCCTTGATTCTGCACATATTCTTCTAAGTTTAATATGTGTGACAGAATAAAATAAAACAGGATTTATAACAAAAGAAATCTGCTGTATTGCCAGTCTTAACAGCCATGTGACATGATTGCTGGCACAACAAATAAAAGCATGATTATCTAATTTTAAAATTAATATATATTCTTCTTTCATTTACTTTCTAGATATTCTACTAAAGGGCCTAGTTGCTGTCAGTATTTCTCTTCAGCTACTAAATGCGGAAAATGGAATTACAAAAATCCCTAAGCACACTATATATTTCCTATATCCCACGACATTCAGGAGCTGTTAATAAGTCAGTACTGAGGGAGGTGGGTACCCTTAAGATTACTCCAAGTACCCTTTGCAACATCAGCCACCATTCAGGGTGTTCAGGAAAGTCCTGTTGTGGCAAGACTGACTGGGAGAGTGGAGAAGAGGAAGCAGCTCATTTTAAACACCGGATTACAAAAGCAAAAGTCAAAGATGAAATTGCAAAGAAAACAAAATACTCAGGAAAATAACCCAGACAAGCCACTAAGCAGCATTCACTTCCATGCCATTTTCTTTCTATGCATTGGAGCAGCTACCCCAGCAAGTGCTGCAGCATTTGGTAAGCAAAGCAGTTGAAAGGTACTTAAGGGGACAAAAACCACACCACACAGATTAATCAACACATTGTATATGTAGCTCTGATTTTTCCTTTTTTTAAAATTTTTAAACAGTGTTTAAGAAAAATATTCTGTGTTGCCATAACAAACTAAAATGCTCTCTCAACCTCTTAAGATTTTACTTTTTGTTTTCAACTATTTTGGCTCCAAGTAGGTTTTATTTTTCCTTGTCTTCTTTATAAAACCTTCTCTCAACATAAATGGCTTCAGGCAGAAGAAATAAGGGAGAATTATGAGCACAGAAGAGGGCTCACAGTCTTCTTCCTTTCCCTTGTGCACTACAGGCAGGCAGGAGTACAGAAGAAATAGGGCATCATGTTTTTATATAGTCAGACAGGAATTCCAGCTGGCATTCACTAAGCAAAAGGGAATGTTTTCCTCATCTAAGATAATTGTTTAAATCCCAGCCATACATAGCTATGGAATAATGGGGTCACTTATTTTCCACTAGTTCAGTAGGATGCTGCAGCAAGCTAATGGTTCCATAAGATAGTTTAAAGCATTGATTTGCTGCAAATTGCTCAATACTAATGATAATAATACTAATTGCTCCATAACTAATGAGCAGCTCTACAGATTTTCAGTGAATCAATCCCATTAGAATTTACAGTTTGCATATGACCATATTACTCAATCTATGGACACAGACTGGAGGCTTTTTTTATTACCTTCATCAGCCCTTTCTTGTTGCTGTTTTTCTTAAACTTGTTTTTAATTTCAATTGATAGATTGGATAAAAATCTCTCTCTTGAGGGTCTGACAGCATACCTGAAAAAATACACCATCCAAGTCTACATAAGCACACATGCATCTCCAGTCAAGTCTTAGATATTCCCTTGCAGAAGATAGTTAATATCCAAAAGGCAGGACGAGATGACAGGTGAAATTTAGCCCCTGTAGTACTAAAGCCTTGCCCCAGTTTAAAGGTGTATTTTAGTTTTTTTTACACCTGTAAAACTGTGAAGTTATATGGCAACTGGTATTTGGACCCACAGAAGTTATTCTACACAACAAGCTGAAATCTCTCCTGTGTGAAAAAAGTAGTAAAGGCAAAAACTTGTATGGATTGAGTGATAGGACTTTAGTCACACATCTGCAGGGTAGAAACAAAATTTGTTAGCAAGCATACCTTGCTTTGTTAGAAGCAGGGTATGCTTGCTAACAGATCAAGTTCTGGATTACTTTATTACTTTGTGTGCCAGGAGGTTTGTACCATCTTTTCCCCATGCTTTGTAAGAAAGAGGTCAGTTCTATCATTATCAATTAGTACAACAAGATCATTTTAGGCAAAATAGTTATAGGCAAGCAGAAGTTCAAATCCTCTCAATGAATTCATAGACTCTGAAAAAACATTGTATTGTTTTTTTACAAAAGAGCTGTGGCTGGAGGGCTGTTTGTTATTAGGGAAGTGTTGAATCATCCCACTCCAACTGCTCTTGCCTAGTGGCATTCTGTTTGTCTCCCTTTCGGACAATCACTTCCTCCTCTTCCTCCTCTTCCTCCTCTTCACTGTCATCTGATTCAGCACTGGTTGTGTCTTCCTCTTCATCGTCTATGTCTTCTTCCTCACTCTCCTCTTCTGTCTGGTGTGGCTTTTCATATTTCTACAATACATTTAAAGAAATAAGACAGTAGCAGAAAGGTGCCTTCTTGACAGCCAGAGCTGTCTCAAATGAGCATTTATAAATGCTAACATGCTGGGCAAATCTGCTTTCCATCATCATGTGATTATTAAGCATCCAATTTATACAAGTTGGTAGCAAATATTCAAAAACTACTGCAAGAAGAATGTAATGTCAATAATCAATCTGTTTTTTAGCCACACTAACAAAATTTAAACCTTCAACATCAGCTTCTTTAAACTGCTGATGATTTCCCCTCCTTTTAGTGTATAAATGCTTACGTGAAAAAGTTAAAACCAAAGGAACTATATCATCTTGGGTACCTACAAACAGACATGGATGGAGTGGAGGTGATGCTGTACGTGAGAGTTCTTCACCATCTTCTTTAGTAATTATACATGATAACAAATCTGAAGTTCTCAATTATATCTGATCAAGGTGTGCAGAGCTGAGAACTGGGCTGGGGTCTTTAGTGTACACACACACACAGCTGAACAACTGCACCCTGAAAGAAGCTCAAACCCACTGCCCGCCCAGCCAGTGCCTCCTGGCAGTGCCAGGATGCAGTGCTGTGCCCCAGTTAAGTACCTCCATGGGGTTGACAGTGATGGTGAGAGCAGAGTCATCCCAGTCCATCTCATTCTCCTTGGTTCCCTTGTGTCCCATGGAGCTGTGCTGACGGGCTGAGCGTAGCCGGAACACACCCAGTGTTACCACCAACACCAGGATGCTCACACAGATGATGATAATGATCGTGGCCACGCTGGGAACCACTGGGACAAAGGGTGGCAAAAGGAATGCAGTTACACTTGGACAAGTCATCAAAACGTCACTAATTTTGTTCGTTTTCAAACCACAGCACCCCCTCCTTTGGACTGAGAATCAGGACAGACACCTGCCATGTGCCATGTGCCTGGGATAACAGAAAGTGTTGACCAGTGCCCATCCATTAAGGTGGAGCACACACAAATGGTGTTCACAGATATCCCGAGTATGATAAATCCTAACTAAACAGTGAGCATGCTCACATTTGCTCTTTGAGCCACTTAACTACAGAAGACAGGTATTTAATAAGTGCAGAATCAAATCGTTTTTGCAGTAAAATTCTGTTATCTCACTTGCATGCTGACCCCTTCTGATCACAGCTGAGGCCTGAAACTTACTTGAGACAAAATGTATGTTGCAAAGCTTCGTTTTTTCAAAGATTTCAAAAAATAAATGCATTTCCACCCAGAAATAAATGCATTGTCACCCTATTTACCTGTGTTACAACCTTCTTGGGAGACTCTTGAGGACTCAAGACATTTTCCCCCACTGTTTGGTTGTACTCTGAGAGGCCCCTGTCTCCACCTAGTCACAGGAAGAAGTCTCTCTAAACTACTGCATGTAATCAGCTCCGTAATTAGGTTAGTGGAAAAATGCTGCCACTTTCTATGTACCTTGAGGTACTGCAGTTCCAGGAGCATGGGATAACCTAGTCCATAACCCATTTTGTTGCCTTTCCCTGCCTATAAGAATGTAAGTCTGAAATTGAAACAGAATTTAGGAACAAAAAAAAACTAGTTTGCAATAGTTTATCCATTAAATATTCAGTTTCATTTTAATGAAGTGTCTCTACAATGCAAAGAAAAATACAGTAATTTTCTAAGCATCTCTGTATATAGCTACTTAAAATTGCCTACACTTTACATCAGCTTTACTTCTTTACATATATATCATTCAGATAAAAGGATTTCAGAATCCAACTTTCAAACAGGTATCTTTGAGCTGCATTTAACTTCACTGAAAAGGCTTCAGATTTGGGTGTATATTTTAACTCATATAACCTAAAAATTAAATTAAAATGTATCCTATACATTTTTTAACTATGAGAGTCAGAGCACAAAACCATCAATGAAGACTTTACAAAAGGATACCAGGTTTTAAAAGTACATTCTTGGACAGAATAGAATTCAGAGTTACCTTCTTTCACACCTCTCCAATGATCTCTAAGAGGTCTTAGGAGCTGAAATAATGGACCTCAGGGCTTTAGTCTGTGGAGCAGGCTGACCCACAAGGGAAACACTGACACATTGAATCATTGTGAGAAGTCTCTGGGAAGATGTCACCTACCTGAGCTGTGAACTGGACTTACACTCCCCTCAGGGTGCTGAACAGATTGGAGAAATTTGGGCTGGAACATAATGTGATTTACATGGTTCATGAAGTTGGAGTTGGAACTGCGTAGAATATTAACCTGGGAGAAGAGAAAAATAAGAGACCAGATACTAAAAAGTTGTTTTATACTCCAAGCCTGCTGGTTCCATGTATTACCTTGGACTTTGTAGTTCACCAGCAGGTAGGAACACTTCATAGATGCTAAAGGCCAAATTAACTCCTTTTTTTATGCCAGTGGAAAATACACAACTTAATATATTTCTAATTTGTAGCATAAAAACATTTCTGGCTGTTGACTCTGAAGTGGCACAGAACAGGCTCTTTTGATTTACCTGTTTGGATAAGTAATGAGTTTTTCTTCTTTCTGTATTAATCAGCTTTTAGGTGTTATCTAAACATTATGAAATAACTGTTCATTTTATTAACAATTATTAAGTTGTTAATTGTCTTTATAAACACTTACTTAAAACTAATTTTGATCATATTGCTAAGTAGGTCCTGCAATTTCCTGGAGTTGTTACCTGGACTCTAGGCCTCAGCGCTAGGTTGGAAAACATGACTCAGTCATTGCTCACCTCCAGGCTGAACTCATTGCTCACCTCCAGGCTGAACTCATTGCTCACCTCCAGGTTGAATTCATTGCTGCTGTAACGTCCATTGAGCTCGGAGCACTTGACCCTGAACTTCCTCTCCAAGGTGGCCGAGGTGCCCCAGTTGCGGTAGCGGAGCTGCCGCAGCACCTGCTCATAGCTGAACATGCTGTCCACGCCTGTGGGGTGGGAGGCAAGGACAGCTCTGGGACAGGCAAGGGAGCACTGCTCTGGCAGTACACAACAAATCAACTGCTCACAGAGCACACGGAATTCGGCAGAATGGTCTGGAAATGACAGAGCATCAAATGTTTCCTGACACTTGATTATATGAGGACAGTTTTAGGAGCTGAATGTAGGTCCCTAATGGAGAGGGGAAAATACAACAAAGGTACAGAATAAATTACTTAGTGATGAGAAAAAGATGGCAAATGTCCCAGCATTGTACAGGAACACTGAGGAGCCTCCTCATTCCCACGTTCCACTGTGATGGTCTGCAAAAACTCCACATTTAAAGAAAGCAGAGATGCCATTTTCCTTACAATCCAAAGGGCAAACACAGCACATCCAGAGATCAAGAAGAAACTGTGTTTTTTAAGATACAGTCACCCTTTGGATATTTTCATGGTTAGAAAATCACAGATTTATGTCCAATTTCTTACATATTTGAGCTTTCATTCCAATATATAATTGATGTGACAAACTAAGGGAAAACAAATTTCCTGAACTTACCATAGATTGAATATCCTGCAGTGGAATTTGTGGCATCTAGATGTTTTCCTTGAAGCTCCCCATGATCTAGTTCTAAACACTCTTGTTCAGGGTCTAGTTCTGCACCAATGACCAAAACATCACAGAAATCCAAGTTGTGTAGCATTTCCTCTACTACCACTTGTTTATTGGCTGTGAACCCATGGCATAGGGCATGAAAAAAAAGACGGAAATGAAGATAAATGATCACAGAACAGCTCAGTCATTTTATGTGCTTTGCATCAGGGCTTTCAATTTTTTCCAAGATGGCTGAACTGTTTTTGCTGATATTAAATCCAGCACACTTGAAGCAAATCAAGAGAAGTGTATGGTCTGCACAGGTGCTGTGATGATGAAGGTCTACAAACACCCAGTGAGATAAATAGAAAATATATTGCTCTGTAATATAAGACAGCCAAGAACATTACTGGAAGTAGAAAACTGAAATTTGATCTTGGAAATAAATTAATGTAAAAATTTCTGTGTTTCAAAACTGTATTGATACCAGTTTTCTCAAGGAAAACCAAACTGGAAAAATACACATCCAACATATCTATGTTTGGATGATTCTCTCAGTTACTCTATGCCCCATAAACAATTTACATTACAAAGACCTGGCTATCTATCCAATAGTAGGGCATTATTATAAATAGCAAGATCCAGTGCTGTGCGACTTAAAGAAATTAAGTTATAAACTTACTGTCCTTCAACATGTACAAGTAATAAAGAATTCTGTTACTGCAAAAAGAGTAACATATCAAATTAATATTTAAATTCTCTGATCAACTTAGTAGAGAGTGTGTGGCAAAACTGCTTAAGCAGCTCCCTGAGGGTATAGATACTGCAAGTCTGGAACTTCCTGCCCATTTATCAAATTGGATGTTGGAGGGTGTATTGGGAAGGAGGGCACAGCCAGGAAAGCCTTATGCCTTAGATTGTAAACTCCTGGTGCAGTTGGGTACCTAAGCTCTAAGTACAGCTGTAACATATCAAAAAATGATGCCCAAGTCAAATTTGTTGGCTTCAGGTAATCCATGCCTGTAAACTTGCATACTGCTACCCATTTTCTCTTCTCCAGAGCCATACATCTAGTTGCTGCTTATTCTAGTCCAACAAACAGCGTTAAGAATGATTCCTCAAATTACTAGACATTTCATCTGCCTTGCACACAAACATTCAAAAGGAAGATTCCTTTATAGACAATGATTTTAAACTTGATTTATCCTTTTGAACATCCACACAGTGTTGAATAATTATACACACATTGCTTAGTATTAGAATAAACATTGAAACTAATATTTTTAAAGGATTATACATACATTTTATTGTGGTAAACTGAGGCATGAGATTACTTTCTCAAGTATTACTCACAAGCTACTATCAGAGCTGGAAACGTAAGAGCAGACTAAAACTTCCACTTTTGCTCAATTACTGCTTTTCACCTTATCAGCACAATTAACAAAATTCTGTTACCAGTAGAGGCATTCTAATGAAAATACACTACGTAACAGAATCTGAAAGGAAGAGTAGAAAGGAATTATTCTAAAGTATACTAAGTGGATACTACATGGAAAATCTGCCCTTTTTTGAAGCACTTTCTGATCTGCCACCATTTAACAAATTTTTCAATGTGTTGAGTTGAATTTATTCAGTACAGCATTACTGTGGCCTGATTAATCTGAGTGAAGTGACTTCCTTTGCATTACTTATTTGCACCATCCTTTAAAAAACATGAGCAGACATTATGAAATTACTAATAATATTTAAAAGAAAGACACAAACCTCTGTCATTTTCTCTTAAGTCCACTGAATTTTCCATTTTAGAGACTGTGCTGACAATCCTGATGTCAGGTAACAAAATAACACCTCTTTCACTTTCAAACTGTGCAGCTGGTCTAGCAAAGTGGTCCATCCCAGTTATGGTAATCTTGGGCTCATTGGCCTGAAATACTATTACATAGGCATCTATATCTGGGATACTAATGCAGATATCTTCACCAAAACATCTGAAAAGATACATCAGTCATTAACTGCATGTAACACATTGCGCATCAGTGGAGTGTGGCACTGGCAATGCCCCAAGCCCAGCTCATGGCCCTCAGATCAGTCCAATTCATTCTCAGGCACTACCACACATGAAGGCATATTCCAGTACCACTGTGCGCAGAGGGCAGCTCTGGCCCTCTCCTCCCTTCCCACCTTCACAGATACTCATTCTGAGGGACAAACTCAGTCTTTCCTAAGGTCACTATCAGAATAATATTTTAATGTTTAGCTGACATTTAACAGAGAAGTAAATGGTTAAGAAAGTTAACTAGATGACAACTAACTTTAGCAAACCTAACATTAAATTCAGAAAGTGGTAGCTAATGAAAACAATACAGTTATCCTATCATGTGTGATTAAAAGGGCCTAATTTTCCATTTAAATTGGTCCCATTATGAACTCTTTTTGGGACCCTCCAATATTTGCAGTGGACAAAAGGTGCCTGTACTTCCATTTTCACCTGAATCAGCAGTGTGAAGTGAATGTCCTGACAAGCTCTGCCTCATTTCATGCTGGCACAGGAGCTGGGCCAACCCCGGAATGTGCAAGCTGGGCTAGTTCCAGTGGGACTGCCTCGGGAGCTGCTCCTGCAGCAGGGAGCTCAGCCCACAGCACAGCCCTGGCACTTGGGAACAGCTGTGCCCCCAGCATGTGAGGGTTGTTAGAACTGGATTTATTTTCCCTCCAAAGCCCTGCTTTCCCTGCTCTGGACAGGGCAGAGCCCAGGAGAGGCGGTGGGCAGCTCTGAACATCATTGTGCAGCTGTTGTCACTGTGCTGCATGGACTGGGATGGACACAGACCTTTCCAGCCTCCACCAGGGACAGCACAGACATCCGGGGACAGACACACAGGCTTTTTCAAGCACACCTACAGATACTGCTCTTGTAGATAAGTTCTCTGTTTGATGGAAAATGCATTAAAAAGTCATGGCTCAGAAGGAACCATAAATGTTTAAAATTAAAAGTTATTAAGATTCCAGTAAATGCACTGTTCAGTCCAGACTGTATGCCTCAAACTATAAAGAGAATGGAAGTACATTACACTAACAAAACAGGTTTTTAAGAAGGTAACATCAAGAGTAATCCACCATGTAAATTGGCATAAAAGTAAATTAAATTAATCCTTTAAGCTTCAATAACAAAACAGTATGATTTATCAATTTAATTTAGCCAAAATTATTATTTTAACATGGCCAAAGAGAAAAGTAGTTTGTTAAAAGTGTTCCTAATCTGTTCAATTCAGCTGGAAGTATAACTTACTGGACTTTAGATGAGACTTTGAGACGTCGTGCGCCTGCAGTAGGAAACTGTCTGGAGTTGATGTATGAGACCTTTTGGAGGGCTTGATTTATATTCTCAATGTCATCTCCTTCCATGACAAGGACTGACTGGGAAGGATTGAAGTGATACTGGGAGAAGTAAAAATAATTAGTATTTAAGAGACCAGGTACAGAGTACAAAATAATATATATTTTTAAGGAATGTTGCACGGACATAAGTTAAAAATTTAATGATTTAAGAAAAAAAACTCAGTAGCTATAATTGGCTGAATCCACACGTTGTTCTCTATAACATGTACTTGTATCAGTCACTTAAATGACTACTGTTGTAATTAATTTTGTAGGAAATTAATCCAGATTTGCTGTTCTTTTCCCAGCCTTATCAACCTTGCTGATACAATTTTTGCAGCAATTTGCAATGCTATTTATTTTTGAACTCTGTGGAAGTTCAAAACTTTAACTTACCACCATGATTATTATTTCTATGTAATCTTTTTAGGTTAAACACATTCCCCATACAAAAGCATTGCCTTTTGAGCAAGCTTAGTATGCAGAAGCATATTTTGGCTGCTTTCTGTTGTGGTTTTATCCTGGTATACCTTTCTGAGATATATTTCAGCATGAATGAACAAAACAATTACAACATTTGCCTCTTACATCTTCATTAATTTCAGACATACTAAAGGGGACTTTCCATCCTGTCTGATGATCAATAAGGGTGTCATGATTTAAGATGGAGCTGCTCACTGGGGCCAGCAAACCCTGCAAAGTCACTGCCTGCTCTTGTAGCCCTGAGCCTTCTCTACTCCATTGCACTGAACACAGATCAGTCTTGCTGACCAAAAACCTTGTCACTTTTGTGACATAACCAATGACTGATTTTTACCTTCATCATAATTAATCCTAATTCCATGTTTTATCTGTTAATTGGTTCAGTAAACCATCTGCATTACCAAGGAAACCAGGGTCACCCACTTGACATTGTACTCTACTGTTGCCAGCACAGAACAAAAATGCACCTTTCTCTCCTGGACAGGCTTTTCCCAAGGCTGGCCATTGATTATGGCCAGATGTTCTGTTAAAATACAGACAGTGTCTGCCTACATTTCCTTACAGCCAGAAAGGTTAAAAAACAAAACACATGAGATAGATTGTGAAAAACAGGAGGAAGCGCAGTGTCCTTTGTCAAACATGGAGGACTATGTTTAATGCTTGTGCAGGAAGATCACAACACACTGAAGGATATTTTTTAACAAAGAGGAGGACTAACATGAATCCCAGTCTGCATATACTTCTTTTTCCTCTCTTTAAGCTAGCAACAGTAAAGAATAAAATTAACAAAAGGAGACCCTAGCTAGCCAGTTAATAGCTCAGCCACCAAAACAGCTGGAACTATGCCAAAGGGACCAATGAAAGGCCCAGTCCGAGCCATTTTTATCTTTCTCATTAAAAAAAGCTAAAAATAGCAACAGTTTAGACAGTGTCTCAGAGAGCCGTTACAGATACCAAAAATTAGGCTGCAGCCCAAAACCAGTCAACACTATCGTGTCAGAAACTGCTGCTACACTGCTCTTTCTTAGGTAGTTAAAGTGTGAATCTCCATGGTCCAAAATGCCTAAAACACCTTCCAGTATCAGTCTGACAACACTGAATCTGCAGAGCACCACATAAACAGCCCCACAGAGCCCATCATCTGTGCAGCTGTCACACATGCCTGTCTGGGATCAGGTGTGTTTGTTTTTGACACCACAACACCTTTCTCTCTCATTTTCTCTTCAAGGTCAGGCAACTGTTCTGCTTTCAACTGAGCTTCCTTCTGTCAGCCCCGCAAAGAAACCTTTCCACAATCTCTCTCTGATTGCTCCTTTCATTTTTGTCTCTTGCTGTTGCTCTCACTGTTGGCTTACTGAGGCAGTAAAAGCAACATTAGTAACTTAAAAACCTCACTATGCCTCATCTGTATTTCAGAAAATGAAAATGTTTTGAAGGTTTGCAAAAGCATGAGGGGGCAGAAAACAATCTCTTGCCTTCCTTTTTTCCTCTGCACTGCCAGTACAGTGAGGAAGCAGTCACAAATGCTGGAGCAGGAGTGGGTGGTAGAAGAAGGATTTTCCCAAGCCCATGAAACAGGGGTGACTTAAATATTGTCAGGTTTCAAAGGGCAACAAAAGGGGAGGAATTACTATGCTTTAAAGCCCCATGGACGAAGTGTACAGTGCTTTAATTAATTGAAAATCCCAGCAAAGAACTAACTATTAGGCATACACATGTGGGTTCCAGAAATCCCTACCTCCTCCTTGTATGCACTACTTTTTAAGACAGCTTTAACTGGCCCCTGTGTCCTGTTGCTGTGAGGAGCAGCAATGTGAAATTCTTAATGATGTTCTTGGTAGGATGATAAAATAATTCTTTGGGGTCTTTCCTCATATGTAAAAGTTAGTGCTATCAAATTTCCTCCTTATCTTTGCACTTTCAGTTTTCATTTTTACACTTGTTTTCACAAAATGTACCAGTTATACTACACCACTGCAGCCTATCATCACCCAGATAGGCATTTGGGCACATTTCAGGTCAATCTGTATCACAGAAAGGTTTGGCTAATAAAATGCTGTCCATGGCACTCCCACTGCACGTTCCAGATGTAGTGTTACGGCACCATCCTCCTCCCCTCTGAAAACCCCATAACAAAACACCCCTGTTCAGTTTCTCAGGATGAACTGTCTGCACCCAAAGGATCTTCCTGGGCTGGAACGGAAGCTCAGCTCCTTTGGAAGCGGTATTTGTGTTCTAGGAAACAGCTTCACAAATTCATTTACTCTGAGCATAAGAACACTGTCACCAAATAATGGTGTCAGTAAAAGAAAACTGACAATGCAGCTTATGTGAGCATTAGAATAGCCAAGATCCTACATATGTATCCAAAGAACAGAATTTCAGAATTATCTGAATGAATGCAAACCCATCTAGCCACTAGGTCAACTGAAACAGGATTTCCTTGTCTGTTGTTCTCCAATCTTAGAAAAAACTCTACACTACCAGTAGTCATATGCATAATGAAGATGGATAATGATTTATATTCAAATCTAAAAATTTAATTTCTTGACTTTAGGGTTTTTTGTGTTCAATTTTCATGTACCATAAAGTTTTCCTCTTTGAACGTACTGATTTTTAGAATGCTATTGCATTAAGACTTACGTATTCCACTGCTTTAAAACTACTTGAGATCAAAATTCAATAAATCTTTGGAATCATGTCTATTTCTGTAGAAGTAACAAAATAAGCATGAAAACACTACCTGGCAATTCACACAGACTCTGTAGTATCGCAGTGCCTTACTTTCTTATCATCTAGCTCTGCAATAATAGAGGCATTTTTCTTTGCAGTGTCACAGCTCTTTTACTGTTCTGTTTTTTCTTTGCATGATTTTATGGGAAATTACATTGCTTCTAGGAGTACATTTGCACTGTGTGTACTCTACCTTGGGCTCTCCATTTCATAAATGAGATCTAAATTTTTATAAAAGATGATGTCAGTTCATCCCTCACCTTTATTCCTTGGCCAAGACTCTCAAGAGAATTAATATCGAGACCTTCCTTGCAGGCCTGCAAACAGGAAATCACTTTCTGACTCTCAATTTTCCCTGGCCGTATTGTCAGACTGGCCAGGCTGCCATGAAAATACTGAGCAAACCTGGGCTTGGTGACTTCACCTCCTGCAAAAAAGAAGATGCAAAATGGTTATTGGTACCAACACACAAACTGCATATATAGTAAATCACTTGATGTTTTAACATGTTTAAAGAATCTCCATCCATCTCAGTCAAGTGTATTTGAGACCTCCTTTATTGTGGTAGAGTGGAATGTCTTTGTGGGTTATTGGTTGGTGTCTGGTAGCAGGCTGTCTTTAAGATTCTTGATTTCCCAGGATTGTATTCAGGTGTTTATAAAGCTGAGACAGCAAACCCAGAGGTGAAGCATGGCTTCACAAGTGTATACAAGGAAGCAGGTGATTTTTAAAAATTATCTTACTCGAGTACTCTAACACTAATTTAATAAATGTTAAAGACGAATATTTATTTATAGAAAAACAGTATTTGCAAGAGTTCCATGATAGGATCAACTACCTCTGACTTTGTCCTCCCAGGAACACAGTACCAGATGAGCTGAGAGTGCTGAGAGTGGTGGCTCTGTGTATACAAACTGCCACACTCCCTGGGCTGTGTCTGAGGACATTCTGGGAATTCCAGCAGTGAGCAGGGACCTGTGCACAGCCCCTCTCTGAGAGGCTGGGAGTGCTGTCCCTGACCCAAGGTGCATCATTTGGTACCAGGTCTGGTCCTTTGTGTTGCACAAGGCCCTGCAGGCAGCTCAGTTTGGTTTCACCCTAGGCAGCTCCAAAGGAAGATTGATCTTTAGGAGCTGTCAATAAAACGTGATTACAGACTGCCTGCTCCAGAGATCATGGCATTTCAATTACTCTTGGGACACTTAGTGTTAATCCTCCTTTAGGAGGATTTTTAGAACTTGTCTTTCCTGCAGTGTTATCTCTCTCAGTGCATGTGAGTTACTGCCTACCTCTAGCCTGGGAGGACCAAGGAAACCACACAACAGTGAGCCAGGCAGACTAATTGGATTAGCAGTTGACAAGCTGTTGATAAAGTGTTGTAATTGGTAGATAACTCATCTCTACAGTGTTTGTAGCTTTAGTGTCAAACAATATGTTTTTGGCAGGCAAGATAGCTCAAACTTGAACTTTGTGAATTGGAGCTTGATTGGGATGAAGTGGCAGATTTTCTTAAGGCTGCTGTTACCTAAAAGCCTGAAAACCCTCACTTCCAGTCTCTGCAGGATGAGCATTATGAAGAAGACTCAAGCTATCTTATATAGTGAAGAAAATACACACTGGTGTACTGGTAAGAAAGGGGTGTCCAAGCAGGCTGTTTCTTCAGAGAAGTAGGAAGGGGTTTTTTGTTTGTTTATTTGGGGTTTTTTGTGTGGTTTTCTTGGTTTGTTTTTTTGTTTTGTTTTGTTGTTTTGTTTTTTTTAACATTATACTATAAACTGCCTCTCTTTTTCTTACCCCAAAGGAAGGTTCCCAAGGGAAGATATTCTTGTCCACTCTCATTCATTTGTCCATTACACAGGAAATTTCCTCTGGGCAGAATTTTTTTTTTTTTTTTTGAGATTTCCTAGAAACTTTCATGTATACAACAGCTAAAGTTTAGCCTTTCTGATACTTACCAAGACAATTACTTGGTAATTATTTAATCATATATATGTAATATTATATTATTAAATATATTATATTGGTTATTATATATTATTATATTTTATTATTAATGTATTATTCTATTATATATTATATATTATAATAACATATCATTTCTTATATATTATTTAATGTATTATTAAATATATATTGATTAATTATATATATAATATATATATATTATTTATAATTATAACTATAAATAAATAGTACATTATGGGGACATTGGCTTTTCAGCCAAAATACTGTTATATTTATCTGCTTACATTGTCTTTAAAAGCACACATACAGCAGTAATATACCTGGACAGAAAAAGGTATGCTGAATTAAAAATAAAAAAGCAAACATCTCCTTTAAAGGAGACAAAATAATGTAAGATCTTACAGAAGAAGAAGGAATCACATTTTATTTGAAGTTTCATATTCTCATATCACTACAAAATTGTGAAGACAGCAAGTTCAAAGGCTAAAATACCAACACTAATCCTGGAGCTTTGAAATTTAGAAAGTCTGCCAGTAGGTCTTAATAATTCTGACACAATGCAGGCTCAGATCTATGAATGTATTTAAATCTGAAATACACTCATTAAAATGTATATAAAAGATCAGACAAGAAGCCAGAACAAAGAACTCAGTGCTGTGTCTTTGCCTGACAGAAACAAGCAGAATGAACCAAAGCATCCATGAACAGATACTGATTGTTCTTCCACTTTGGACTAGTTCTTATCTGGTATTCTTGACAAAGCACTTAAAATTACATTTCTAGTTCATTAACAGTGATACAGTATTTGCCTATAAATCATTAAATACGCAGTGTATTCAAGACACACTTAAGTGTGCCCAAGCCACACTTAAGAAATGCTTGTGCACAAGGAGGTATTAAATTAAATCTTGGAGATGTATAATTCTTGTTTAAAGTAATTTGTCCAGCCATCAACATAAAAGCATGGAAGGCAATAAGAGTGTTTCCAGGAATAAGTTTTTAAAAGACTCTGAAAATGCATGCACTACAAAAACATTGAGCATTTAAAAGAACAAGGCTTACACACCCTCTTCACAGGAATAAGTAGGTGTTTGTGCAGGTACAGAGATCAAGACTGGACTGTAAAGGAGGTGACATAATCTTTGCTTCGGAGAGGCTATCAACTTAAACAAAAATCCCCAAGTATTTCAAGAAACTGTGAGTGGAAAATAGCTGGGAGTAGCCAGTGTCATACTTTGGGAGTAGAGAAAATCTGCAGAACCGTGGCCATGGTGGTGACAGCGTGATCCAGGCTGAGATAATACATGTGAACAACCAAGAACAGAATCTGCACGGACATGAAGGGATGAGGCACTCTGCCCCCAGCCCTGAGATAAATACAGCTGTACCTAATCTATTCTTGAGAATATTGCCTGAGTTTTCTAAACTCTTCAGAAGACAGAAGCTCCCCACGGAATCCCCTACACCAACCACTGACCCTTGAGGTGGTTTCCCAACTGGAAACGTGAGCACTCAGAATACATCTGTATCATTTTCCTTTGCCAGGATAAACAAGGACTTCTCTTTATCTTCCACCTAACACTGTAGACTATGAATATCCTTGTTGCTCTTCCTGGAATTAACTTGCTGAATTACTAACCCTGCGGTAGTGTTCTTGTCATCACTGTATGTGTAAAAGAGGATGTGTCTCTTCATCCAGGGCACTGAGAACACCAGTTTTTAATCACATGAAAAAACAAGAACATTTAAAGAGAGAATACTATCTTATACCAGATTGCTAAATAAGCCTTCCATAAGCAACTTTTACCCCAGTGTTAAAGACAAAAGTATATACCTGCCAATTCTGAACTTGAAGGTGAACAGAAGTCATTATATCTGACTCTTCTTACAGTTGCTTGTAAATGCAGCATGCTGTCATTTTGATATTCTTCTGTCTCAGCATTTCAGAATCTTCTCAGCTCAGTGGGGTACATTAGCTGCTGATGTTCCCCTCACCAGTAATTATTAGATTGCAAATGGACAAAATCGAATGCAAGAAAAATGGGAAGCAAAACCCAAAACTTTCACTAAAATTAAAGGAATTGCCTAAAGCCAGTTTCCTACAAATCCTGCTTTCTAGCTTTCATAAAATGTTTTATTTATATTTGGGTAAATTAAATTGGTGTGTTTGAAAGCTATCTGCTTCTGCAATCTGATATTTGAGTATTTTACTTCAACTTCTCAGTGGGTGGAAATTTAGCCCAGGATGGCCAATCTCCAAATCCTAGTCACTCTAAAATTCTGAGCTCCCAAGACTAAATGAGTATAAAGATATTTAATTCAGAATGAACATGACAATTCCATTGCATGTTTAAGCATGATGGATAACTGTACCTAATGCTGATAGAAACATTTTACAGAATATTATCCAAATTCTTCTAAGTGCTGATTTTTCAAATAGAGATCCTTTGACCCTGAGCAGGATTATTTCATGCTCCCCATGCAGCCAACAGGCAGCTCAGAGTCAGTGGCTTCACTGGGCAGGAGGATGCTCAGTATCACTGCCTGGACTTGACTCAGCACTGATGCTACCACCTGCTAAGAAACAACTGAGAAATGACATGAACTGCTCCTAAACAGCCCTTACTGCTTTAAGGCACTTTGAGCTCTTGGTTCTGGCACCAAACAACACTAAGCAACAACACTAAGAAAAAACCTTTTTGGGATAATGAAGACCTAAATAGATTACACAAAGAATGAAGTGGAGCTCCAGTAATGATGGTCAAGTATATGCAAATTTATAAGTTCTGTAACACAGCATCTCCAGTTTCTCTTCAGAGCTCAAGATAACCAATTAACTTGGATTGCCTCAGCAAGGTTCATGGGACTTACTTGGTGTCAGGGTCTTTTTGCCCTTTCCTACAAGTGAAACACGGCTCAGATACAGCTCATCTCCAAGAAGATGTTGGTAAGTTCTGAGAGAATGCAAAAACCTAGTCCTCAACTGTGTTATAGCTTGTGTTTCACTCAACACTATGTTTATTGATTGCTATGGATTAATATGCCTTGGATGTTAATTCTTGGGGGATGGTTAAGTAGTTAAGGCTGATGAATGATAGGGCCAAGAGAGGAAAACAGAACCTTCCCTGCTGTCAGGGAATTAAGTTAATGTCTGTAACACAAAAAAAGACTGAAACTACACTATAGTTTAGTTATCAACTATTCTTACTACAATTCCTTACATTAAAAATGTTTGAAGCTACTGATTTTTTTCTCTTCCTTAAATGTAAATGTTGTGGTTGTCATCACAGTTGCGAGGGAACACAGGCCACAGGGTTGTTCAGATCTTGCTGATAAAATTGGGCATTGCTTTTCACACCTGACCCAGCATGCACCAACATTACTGAAGTCCAGCAGATGCAGGAGGATGGATGGTGGCTTTTGGCATTAATTCAACTCTTGTAAAGGGAAGATGGTGTCAAC